GTGGTCTACTGGAGGGTGTCCCTGCCCACGGCAGGGGGGGTGGAACTAGATGATCTTTGAGGTCCCTTCCAACCCAAACCATTCTATGATTCTATGAAATTCTGTAATTAATGTAAGTGTGAATGCATATTTGAAAAAAGATTGAGTTATCCTGCAGGAACAGCACTTCCTTGAGAGCTGTTGTCTTTGGGGTTTCTGTGACTCCCTCTCTGTTACAAGGTTGTATACTTTGGAGTTTGTGCTACCAAAGAGACTTGGGGGTGGATGGTCTCCATGATTTATGCACTGATTACAAAGGTCCTGTGTGGGTGTACAGGGTAGGTACAAAGCTCTTAGAGAAACAAAATGCTTTCCTCTTACATGTATGGAATGTGTGCAAGCTATTTGATTAGTTGGTAGTGTGGCTGGAAGAGTAGTAAGGAAGGTGCACAGTTCTCGGTTATTCTTCTGTTCCCTGGCAGTCAAATCATGCCAGTCTTTGTAGTTGCAGATGTCGTACGGTGCATTTTTAAAAGCTGTAGTGGTGATCATGCAGCAGTCACAGTCATGTTTCATTATTACTTATCCTTATCACTTTTTTCTAATGACTAACTTTCCATTGCTCCATTTTGTATTCTCCATGTCCAGGGAAAAAATCATTATTCCTTTTCCTTGTATAGCCTTTTATATACGGAAAAGTCATTATCTTGTTCTTTCTTGAACATCTTTTCTCTGGACTAAATAACCCAAATTCTTTTACAGTTTCCTAATGAGCTCTATTTTCAAGGAATCCATTTGGTTTTTGTTCTTGCCTCTATGTTTCTTGAAATGCATTGCCTGTCAACAGGGAACTTCCGAGGCTGAAATAGAATCTATCAGTTCAACCTGTTTTTAAAATAAAAAAAATGCTTACTATATGATAAGTAACCATGTTGTCTGATGCCAGCACATTATTTAAAAGCTAGAGCCTGCGGCATTTACTGTTGCTCTTATAGTAAGTCTGAAACTTTAATGAGGTCAGCAGAGCACTCTAGTCACCTCTGCAGTCTCTCATAAAAGGCATCGGCATCTCCACCACCACCACTTGTTCTGTTTCTTTCTTTTCCCTACGTCGCTCCAAATACACTCTTTTGGTCAATTTGCTTGGATAAAAACCTGTGCAGCTGTGTCTCAGTTCTCGCTCCAGTCTGCATAGGGAAATGCTGTATGAAGCACTGCGTGGTTTTGTTATCCAGAAGCAGTGGTCAGATAGGACTGGGATGGCAGTAATAGAAAGTAAAGGCAAATCTTCAGCCAATTTGAAGTGGTTCCTTGGATTTAGACTTGGATGAGGTGGATATAGAGAGGTAGAGTTTTACTTCTGATGCTATATCAGTGGTACGTAGAGTCTTCAACCCAGCAGAGGTGACAAGAGGACGCCTCTAATCACAGCAAGTTTTCACACATACTGCTAGTATGGACAGTTGGACTAGATGATCGTCATAGGACCTTTCCAACTGAAATAGTTTACTCTGTTCTAACGTGGTTGTCTGAGCTAGCAGTTACTGCTGCTGCCCTGATGCTCTGGTTTGCTTGTGTGCTGAAACGGCTGGCACAGTGGTTGCCTTGCTTTAGCTGTCATTGTCTAGATTCATGCATGTATTTAGATCAGCTCAACTTTTACTTCATATACTCTTACTAAAAACTGCTTCCAATACTATAGTTTGTTCCCCAAATCATCGTAGTACATTTCAAATTGATTAAAAGCTGGATAGTGGTAAGTAAATAGTTAGCCATTAAGAATGTTCTTCTAGTGAGGATGTTTCTGGGGATGTTCTCCCACTGAATATTCTTACCCTAATGTTTCAGTATCTTTTATTAATGAATAACACAATAATGCATAGCATTTTCAGAGAGTGCAGGATCCAAAAGGTGAAGCTAAACAAATTCATGCCACAAATGTCTTTCCAAACTATGTACCATTTAACTGGAAGTCATCATTCTGTTCTGCATTAGGTGTTGAAGCTTGTCTGTGCTGTAGAGGAACGCCCTTTAGATGATTCCCTATGGGTAGTTCTGTCTGGTCTTGACCCATCTGCTACTTAAAATTCTAAAAGTTCAGCATGAATTTTTGCCATGTATTTATAGATGCAAATCAGGCAGCTTATATGTAACTGGGCCAAGATAGAGCTTTTAATTCTCTTCAGGATTTCTTTTTCCTCAGTTACCATATACTCCACCTGTATTATACCTCTTATACTATGCCTTCCTATTTTGACTTGGTCCTTTATTCAAGGTCAGAGTGTTACCTGAATTTTACTGCTAAATTTCTGCATATTTTCTCAAAGACTGTCTTTTGTCAGTATCTTTGCTAAAAAATCATTCAAGCCATATTACCTCTGATATTTCACAATTCTATCAAATCATATTCTGAGATATCCTCTTTTTCAGTTCAGATATATCCCATCTTACAATTAATTTAGGGTACCTCTGTAAAAGTTCTTTTTCCTGCCTCATTGCTTTCAGATCCACCTCCATCTCTCCATACTCCACTGCATCAAATACAATTAGATGTCATCTTTAATATTCTTTTCTAGTTTATTTCATGTCTCACCAGTCATCTCCTCAAATATTAAGATATTGATCCTTTCCCACCTTCATGTGAAAAATGAGGATGTTCCTGATTGCTTATTTTTCAGCTACTTTTCAGCTTGCTTCTCCAGTGAGCATCTCTTCTGTTTTTCTCCCATAGACTTTTCAAAAGGGAGAAATCCTTTTTATAACTCTAACAGAGCTGTCTTGTCATCCTTCTTAAAGCCCTTATTCTCGATTACAGAGTATTGGTCATGTGGTTGATAATGTTTCTATGGTATGTACGTGTTCCATCAGGGTTTTTGGGGTACAGTAGCTCTTTCTGTTACGTGTTTGTGCAGTGCTTCAAGCTTATGAATTATATTATCTCCAAATTACAAAGATAACTTTTGCAGAAATGTAGTGAATACTGACAATAAGTTAATTAAAATGTATTCTGGCAACTAGCTGATAAAAAACAGTTTTATGTCATGGGGATCTACCAAATATGCCTTCTTGGAAAAGATACTTCCTATAAGCTTAGAAGGAACTTTATCCTGGTTGCTCATTTAACTAATAAACATTAGGCTCTGAACAAGGCTATTACAGATTTATATTCCAAGAGTAAGTACGAACAACACTAGAAATGAAGGAAGATTTCATCCTGTCAGTAATTTCTATGAGTAATCAGACTTGGGAGGGAAGATTAAGCCTATAATTATTTTTCTTATGCATTATCAATGAAGGAAAAGCTACAGGAAACTGTGTATATATGGTAACGTTCATAAAAGAGTAGGAACTCTGTCTGCACTCTATATATATGTTATTAAAAAGAGATCGGAAGTTCGTAGAAGTTAAAGTACTTATGTGTGGGATGGAGGAGTTGTCTCTTGATTTTTAGCTACAAAATATAAAGTATGGTTTAAAGACTGCTTTAGAACGCACTTGAAATTCCTAATATTGATGGAGGGAGGTGGGAGGAGAATTGATACTCTTCTTTAACAGGAACCTAAGCATTCTTGTTGGAGAGTATGGAAGGAAAGAAATGAAAATGACAAGTTTTCTTTTCATGTTCAAATCTTAATGAAATTTATAAAGTGAACAAGTAAAAACTAAATGATAAGTTAATATATTTTTTGCAATGTAAAGCTTTTCTAATACAAAGAGGTGGGTGGGGCAAGGAAATTTCAGTCTTTATAGTTCTTGGAGATAAATCAGACTTTGTAACTGTTTGCAATTGATCCTACTATCTTAGGTTTTCAAGATCAAAGCTGTGCAACTGGCAGGAAAACTTCTTCCAGCCTTCAACACACCTACGGGTATACCATGGGCAATGGTGAATCTGAAAAGGTAATGAATTTTCTTTTGTGGGGAAGTGTGTTCCTCCCCCTCCCTCAAAATTAGTAATGGGATATGTCAGGTTTTCTTAGTAGTGGAACTGTAGAATACGCAGACAAATCGGCCTTCCTGGCACTTTAGAATAATTTTAATAGAGTTCAGCACATTCTACCTCATTAACTGCAATAAATTGTGACCATGTTGTTTGTTTTTTTTCCCCTCCTGATTCTGCAGTAAGAATTCAATATGCCAGTGGAACATACCCAGTGTATTATGCCATGTGTTTTCCTAGACCTTAATAATTGATTCTTTAGTCTTTAGAGAACCTATTAAAAACCAAAATTGTTTGCAGGCCATGGTTGAACTTACTGGGTTTTATGTACTGTGTGAGCTGTATGTTACCTTTAGAAGCCTCACAATGTTTGAGAAGATGATGGGACTCTGAAGATTTTAATTAATTTTACAGTTCACCTTAGGTTTAAAGGCTAGTGTGCTGAAGTCCAGTATGGTCCATGGAAATGGAGAGGCTCCTGTAGATGGCTGTTCAGGTCAGACGCTGAACTTAGATGGTCTGCATTGCCTTGTGGAAGAAAATTGCTTTGTCTAATTTATCAAGTATTGCTTGTTCCATGGTGGAATTTCTCTCAGATTTTGAGAGAGCATTTTTGATGCAAAGCATTTTTAAATTTTTTATTATGTTCTTAAACAGTAGCTGAATTGGGATGTATGTCTAAATTGTGTGTACGCTTAAGCAATTCAGGACAGTAAATAGCGGAGAGCTTTTGAACTGTTTTAAATTGTTTTCCTTTTAGGAAAGATATTTGTTGTGCTTTGTTAGACTGTGAAGAGGTTTAGGACTACTTTGAATGTGATCCTTTTTGTGATCAGAAAATTATCCTCACTGTGCTGTCAGTTCTCAAGTGAAGATCACGGAGCTGTGGTTTGCCCTTCTGTTGGTGCAGGGCCTCACCACCCTTGCCTGGTCTTCTCTGCTTTGCCTGTGCTGCATTTTCCCCATTTTTTGGACCTGTGTACAGTTAATGTCATTGGGTTAAATTTCCCCACGCGCTTTCTGTGCAGCATTATGGTTTACTCAGTCTTGTGTTCTTTCTGCGGTTTCATATGGCTTGAAATTTCTCTGTGCAGAAGTTCTTTTTATTTTTGCTTTGTTTAGCCCAGTCTTGCACCGTGATTCCAGTATGTTTGAATGGCCCAGGTAGCCATACTCCTCAGGCAGCACAGGTGACTGGTTCCTTGGCTTGAGCAACATAGATGGCGAGGTTTAAGAAGCTGTAAGCAGTAGATGCATGGATACTTATCAGTATAACACGTAGGTCGGGCGTTACAGCACGGTCAGGAAGGCAGGACCAGGGAGGAGGATTTGCAGTAGGCGGAGGGGAAAGGATTGGAGTGCCAGAAATTTCGTGCATGCTGGTGGTTTATGAATTTACTGTGTCAGTGTGTACAGAACCAGCCAGCATCACAGCGGAAAATAGTGGCTGGCATGCCGAGGAGCAGTGGCAGTAGCAGGCATATATGAGAACACTTATCATGAAGCTGACATGCAGTAAAAGACAGGACCTGAAAGAAGTATTTGGAAAATTATTGACTTGTGTTTTATTAGCTTTTGTAGTCATAATGAAACACTCAATTTTCTCTTTTTATGAGCACTGTACCAAAAAAACCCTGAGACAAGCTATGATTTTGGGTCTCTACACTCTGTAAACAGTGGTTACTGTATTTTAAAAGGTGTTGTTCTGTCTCAGGTCAGAGCTACAAATACTGCTCCATTACTGACGTTTTTCCTTTACATTTCCTCTTTCTAATTTCTAATTTAAAAAATAAGAAGACATTCCTAATTGATTGTAGTCTTACTAAAACCTGAAATCTTTTATGATAAGAAGTAGAAGTGATCTCCAGGAGAATGTCATTAACTTCAGAAATTAAAAGACCTGATCCTGAAAGGTGGTGAAAACTCCCAAATTAGATCAAACCAGAGGTAATTTAGGGGTTATGACTTAGCAAGGTGGTAACTCTTAGTGTGCAAGAGATAGGAGATCTATGATACTTCCTGTTGATTCTTTGTGAGCCTGAGGAACTCATACTATTCTGCCTACAGTAAACATACTGTTTTCCTATGTAGATACAGATAGGGCCCACTCCCATCCTACTGGAGTGTCTAAATACTGAGTTGAAGCACATCCCACACAAGTAAAGGGAATACAGCAGATGTTTGGCAGAATGAGGAAGTGAATGCTGCCACCTTTGTAACTGTGCTCGTCTCGTCCGATAATTGCTTTTGATTCTTGTTCTTAGGAACATACAGTGAATAAACAACAATTGAGGTTGGGCCCAGTGCAAAGTCATTTTGTTTCTGTTGACATCAAGATAATGCATCTTTTAATCACAAGACTTTTTGTTGATGAGGTTATGGTATCTTTTTTCCAAAAAGACCCAACCAATGAACCAACCGATAAATCCAACCACAGCTCCTGTAATCTTAAGTAAAGGTTAATATTTTGCTGTTACTTGTTTAATTTGTTGTGCTGGTTGTTACCAGTGCTGTGCACAGTAATTCTGAATTTTTTGTTGTTTTCTCCCTTTTTTATGCATATTTGTTGGAATTCAGTGGTGTGGGTCGAAACTGGGGCTGGGCTTCTGCTGGCAGCAGCATCCTTGCTGAGTTTGGTACTCTGCACATGGAATTTGTCCACCTCAGCTATTTGACAGGGGACCCTGTGTACTATAACAAGGTGGGTCTCAAATTCAGTTTTTTATCATATGAGTGTCTTTTATACTGTTCCATCATACATTGCATTAAAGGGGAAGTACTTTTGATATTGAATTCTTGGTAGCAGGTAAATTTTTTCATATTTATATTTCTGTTACCAAATAGGTGAGTTCTTCAAGTAGAAATTTATGACAACCCAAATTTTCTTATTTGTTTCAGCATACATTTAAAAATCACAATTTTTAAACATGTTTATGTGAGCAGTCCTTTAAAAACAAAAACATACTAATCTGAAGGAAACCCTCAAGAAAGCTTCTGGATTCAGATTAAGAAAATTTACTACTAAAAAAGAAAAACAGATTAGATTTAACTATGTGCAGAAAGCAGATGAACATTGTTAGTGGTGATTCTGATTCTCGATTTAATTTAGGTCATGCACATTCGGAAGTTACTTCAAAAAATGGATCGTCCTAATGGACTTTATCCAAATTATTTGAATCCAAGAACAGGCCGTTGGGGTCAGCGTAAGTATTCTTATTTTATTTATTCCTAATTAAAGCTCTGCTTCTTACTTTGTTGCCAAGTTGGAGATCAGAAAAATAATTCTGTGGGGTATGAACAGCATTGCTTGAAAATATGCAATGTAGAAGGATTACTTAGACTTGAGATCTCCTGAAACCAATTTTTGTCTGTTGCTCTCTCTGAAGTCATGCAGATCAATTTTTATGGTACTTTCTGAAAGCAGCTTCCTACCAATCTGATGCCTATCCTTACTTTTATCAGTCAATAAAATCTTCAGTAATAAAGAATGAGGCTGAAAATAGTTTCCTCATTTTGCTTTTGTTCCTGGTTTTGTTCTGGAAACCATCCGGTAAGTGGAAGGTAACGTAGAAATAATGCATATTTGTGGGGGTTAAGTTTGAGCTCCTTCACTTGGCGTTAGGGACTGACATGTAAAAACATAATTCTTCTACTTAGTGGCATGTGAAATGATATGATGAACCTCCCTATAGATCCTGCTGGTATCAATGTGTCTCATTTTAAAAAAAAAAAAAAAGGCTTTGGAAGGAAACAAAAAAAATGGTTTTATTGCTGACAACGTAAGTAGAGAGATAAAGACAGAGACACAAATATGATTCTTTTTCTTGAAGTGGTTCTTCCAAGAAAAGCTGAGTGGTTTAGTCCTTTCATAGCAGGTGTGATAAAATAGAATCTTCAAAGTTTCTGTTCCTGTTTCTTTTATGAATGCAAGTTTATTCAGAAAAAACAAGCAAGATGATCTATTTCGGTCCTGTTTGACATCACTGACAGCTTTTGGGAATTTCAATGGTTGTCTGTAAATATCCAGCAGAACATGTTCTGGCTTGCAAACTGAGAATGTGCTTATAACTTTGAGTCTGGTATATGAGGGAAATGAATGCAGCTGTCATTGCAGTGACTGTGAAAAGAGTTCTCTAATCCCATCGTTAAGGCCAAAATTCTCTCCAAAGTATCTAATGTCTTTGAGTGAATAGTGACACCTTCTGAGACAGACACATGGATTGATGAGGTAAATTCTTCAGACAAATTTAGGTTTAACGATGCATTCAGAAAAAAGAACATGAGCAAATACAAATATTCACCTACTATTTATTCAAAGACAATTTTATGTTGTTCTGAAATAACTTTTTCTATTGCTTTTTTTCTATTCCTAACCAATTGCTCCTGCTACTTTTATCAAAATTAGTCTAATGTGGCATATCACCAGGATTCTTTAGGGGCTTTTCGTCGGTTGTAGTAATAATGCTCAGAATTAGCAGCTCTTTGATGAAGAAAATCATCTTGGTCACTGAGAATAAACATACAGTGAAAATTTTAACTTTGTAGAAGTTTGATGCAGCTCAAATATACTTTTTAAGTGAATTTTGAAAGATAATACATTTGGGACTAACGTTTAGGATTACAGGCTGAGACTTAAGTTCTTAGGATAAAAAGAAATACTACTTTCTAGAGCCTTTAATTTTGCTGTGCTGCTCATTAGCCACAAACTTATTTCCTCAAATTTGGTGGGGATTTTTTGTTGGCGTTTTTTTTGGTTAGGTTTTTTTGTTTGTTTGGGTTTTTAGCAAATAAGCTTCAAAATGCAGATACAGATGTTCTGGTAGTGTTTCTAAGATTTCCGCAATGCAACAAGTGTTTGTAAACCTATCTTATAAAGTTTTGTGGGGACAAGATAGCAAGAATTCATAATTCTGCTTTTCCTTCTACAAACCAGGATGTAATGATGATAAACTGTCCTTGTTGTATCCCTGATAGATCTATTTGCAGGAATTTCAGAAGTTACAGTAAAGGTGCACGTGCACTGAAACACTGGACATATGAGCTGAAATAGCTGAGGCTTAGGCAGGAATTTTTCTTGATTTTCCTGCAGAGCTTGTATCCTGCATCACAGAAGTTGGTTAAATAAGGGTGATGCCTTCACACACTACATCTCAGTTCACTAGAGGACTTGTGTCAGAGTCCACAACACTGTTACTGACTTGGGTTGCTTTGTTGGTATTAAGGGCAGGCAAGGCTTTTATGTCCTCCTCAGAAGGTAATTTCAAAGAGTGTTGTGTTTGGCTTGTTATATTCTTTAGTACTGGAAAGACTGAGACAATGGAAAGAGTACCAAAGCGTAACTTTTCTTCTTTCACATTCTGGGAAAGCTGCCCTTTTCGTCTTTGCTGTGACCTTTAGTTTGATGCATACTATCCTTGTACAAAGTAGTTTCTCCAGATAGTTTCTGAGAATTATTTCAGAACTCTTTATTTGCCTAGATACATGTAACTCTTGACTCTGACCTTTCTGAGTTGTTTTTTTTCTTTTTTTTTCTTTTCCTGCTTTGAACTTTTCTCTCCTCAGACTTTTTGGGTTTTCTGTTTATCTGTACAGTGTTCCAACTAAGTCATGAGGGGTGTGAAATAGGCAAAATAAATCTACATAAATACACTGTTGAAGAAATACAGGAGTTAGCCACAATATAGCATCATTGTAGTGGTGGGTTTATTTTCTATTTCTATACCCATCATTCTAGCAGTGGGTGTATTCTAGTGGGGGGTACCTTTATTCAAAGTAATGAAAATATCAGTGATATGCACATAGCAGTCAGACTAGTTAATGTTATTACTACCAGTTGATTATCCAGAGAGTATTAAACAAAATATATAATGGAAGAATTAGTATAGGTCAGGTTTTCTTAGTAGTTGTTTTTTCTTTACTTTTTAATTTCTTTATTAAAAGAAAAAAATATATGATTTGAATAGAAGAAAAAAGATACACTTCTGTGTTGTTTTTCTGTTTAATTTTATTGTAACAGACTGACAGGTAAACCTGAATACTTAAAGACAATTCTTATTGTGACACAGATTTGTGGAAGCAGAGAAGCCTCAAACATTTTCGGTGGCTTTGGTGTGACCCCATAGGACTGCAAGCAGGATGTATCTCAACTTGCAACAAGAAAATACCCTATACCATGGTACACTATTTTAATACCTTCTCAGAGGTATTTGCACAAGGAGCCTGGGCACATCCTCATTTTGTATTTTAACCAAAAAAACCCACAAGGATTGCATCCACTTTATTTGACTTGCAATCTCAAGTATTAAATGTTAGCATGAGCAACAAATGTGCCTTTGAAATACCCAATTAGAAATCTTTCCTTCCTTCTTCCTCTTTGCTCCAGAGATACAGCAGCATAAATCACTGCACACATCAGTAACTTCTTAGCATATGTAAGGTGGTATTGGGTCTGGCTGGGACGGAGTTAGTTTTCCCCATAGCAGCCCTCATAGAGCTCTGCTGCATACTGGTAGCCAGCAAGGTGCTGGTAAAACACCAGTGTTGTGGCTGCTGCTGAGCAGTGCTGGCACAGCATCAAGGATGTCTCTCCAACATTGCCCCCTCACTAGTAGACTGAGGGTGGGCAAGATGTTGGGAGGGGCACAGCCAGGACAGCTGGCCCAAACTAAGCAATGGGATATTCCATACCAGATGACATCTGCTCAGCAACAAAAGCTAAGAGAAAGGAGGAGGAAGCGGGGGCATTCGTTATTTACGATGTTTGTCTTTGGGAGCAATCTGTACATGTACTGAAGCCCTGCTTCCCAGGAAGTGGCCAGACATCAACTGCTGGTGGAATTAGAGAATAAATCTTTTATTTTTCCTTTGCTTCTGCATGCACCCTTTGCTTTTGCTTTATTAAAGTGTCTTTCTCTTGACCCACGAGTTTTTTCCCCTTCTTATTTTCTGCCCCCCTGTCCTGCTGAGGAGGAGGGTAGTGGTAGAAGGGCTTGGTAGGCACCTGGCCTCCAGCCTGGGTCAACCCACCACAAAGGTCTCACAGCATACTGCCTTCCTTTTTTTGAATCTCTGATTCTGTGGAATCTAAACGTCATGTTGTCCGTCAGAACTTTATATGAACTGCATATAATTAACAAATATAAAGCTTGTATCTCAGCTGCTGATGTTGGAAAATTAGAGTAATAAAATTCAGTGCTAGGTCTTATGGAAAGGGAAGGTGATACTTATTTGTTTACAGAGTTAAGTCAGCTGATTTTTACCTACTCTCATTTTCTCAAGTTTAATTCACTCATACTCACAGGTACCAAGATATGTCCAAGTTGTCTGGAGTGAGAGAAAAAGGGACACTGCTATCCAGTCCTCTTCACATATCTAGGGTTCTTGAATTATGATGACGAGCTAGTTTTTGTACAGATCTTTCAGTCTGTTAGGGATCAGCAATTGTTATGGGGTTTTCTGTGACTCAGAATATTTCTGTCATTAGCCTCCATAGATGTTAGGCCACGTCGCTGCATCTTGTCTGTTTTTCCTCATTTAAATGTATGCATGAAATATATGTACATGATCTGTTTTCTTCCTGGGTTAGGGGAAGGGGAATGGTGTATGTAATGTACTGCAACCTTGTCGCCATCCTTCTGATGCGGGGTCTGATGAGTCATTTCTGCTGTGGTTTGATTTATCAGAGTGCAGGCCTTCTGATCTCAATATAAACAGAATGTTCTGCAATTCCATTGCTGGGGAATGATATTCTGGGGACAGTGCGCTGAGACATGCAGACCATACTGTTTGCTCATTGTTCTGCTGCTTCTGCTGGTGCTTACAAAGACGTGTTTTCATTCAAAGTAGTCACTGTTTCTATTACAAATACCTAGAAAGGTATAATCAGGAAAGTAACTTACCAGTGAAATAGTAATTATGGTTTCATTAAGAAGGATTTGACCATTGCTTCCAGGTTCTTAACAAGTTGTAGAGATGAGTACAGTCATATAGCATGACATAAGTCAAATCTATAGCCATGTCTTTGTAATGTTTACATTTTTATGAATATAAATTTCCGTGTGCATGTAAGGCATTTGACGTAGCACTTGAAGAAGGGTTCTGGTGACAGATTACCTTCTTTCTCTTTCTGCCTGCCTCATGAAGCGGCAGCAGCCAGGGTCGGGAGCCGCAGCAGGCCGAGCTGCACAGGGACTGCCATTCCATC